GAATGATAGTTGATTTAAATCTATAAGTTTTTAAATTCGCTAACATATTAGTACGAGTAGAGTAGGAATCCAGGAAACAGCGCCACCTAGAGTAAAAAATATAACTACTTTGGTGAGCATCTCTGCCAGTATCAACTTCCGGGAAAATGGTCCATCGAAACGCCGTATCTTCGACATCCGGGAAAGTGATCCTTCGAATCGCCGTATCTCCGACAAGTTTGATAGTCATTCATACTGTTGTACTTTTATTTGTACGAAATAATAGGAAAACATATTTAATATTTGGTTGTTCGAACAAACAGAGGAACTTTGAGTGAACTATCTTGTTTCGAATACATTTTTTCAATGACCTATAAAATTAATGAAGAATTATATTGTAATTATTGATATTGAAAAAATATGCAGATATCTAACATTCAAACAGCCAGTGAAGTCATCACAATAATTACTAATTAATTTGTCAAAGGTTAATTGTAATTATTGATTTAAATATCGAGTTTAGTCATTTTCGACGTTATAATCGATCAGCACTAATTTGAATATGAATTAGTGATGACCAGAACAAAGTTATATTTATTTTGGTTCATTTCTAAACGTTTATTGGCGCGCACATCTGCTTTGCAGTTATTGACAGGCGTCGTGGCCATATTGGATTTGGCAGCTGTGAAAAATGAGCGTAATGAACTTCTTTCTCCTATGTCGACTGTGATTCGAGTGTCTTCAGTTGGTTTGCTGTATTCAGAGAGCGTGAATAAGCAAGTGTGTCAATGAACAGTTTCCAATCTATCATTCACTTGGGAAGTGTCAACAGCGACTTTAACAGTAGCAGCTCTAGTGACATTCCAACGTTTTGTATGACTTGGGCTCATTTTCATGTGGCGGTCGTTTTGTTCCACAAAATCCTGAAAAATCTGTGAGGTGTAATTTGCATTCAATTGTTGTTGTTGTTGTTGTTGTTAAAACTATTAAATGCTACTTAAAACATAATATTTATAATATGAACACACTGGCACGCCCAACTACAATATAATCTGTGTCATTTATACGAAACTACAATTGCTAAAATACGTGACTGACTGTTATGATGAACATGACAAGACAATAAGAAAATATAACATATCACACAAAGTGTCACCCCGTGACAGTAACGACGATACATACGAATATTTTTTTAAATAATCTGGCACAATTTATAACAATTTCTTGTAATACTTTTAAATTTACAATTGTCAGGTCAAAAGTTAAATTGAAACTCCTTAGTAACATATGCAAAGGTTTGTAAAACGCGCGGGTCAACCGAAAAAAAGGTGAAAACTGCTTTGAACTTTGAACTTGCACATATGAGTGGTGTATTTTAAACTACTTTGAACTTCACAAAATGAACGACGGACTAAAGTCAAGTTCAAATGCAAATAAATTCATTCGTTAAATCAGCAAACTCATTCATTGACGATTGCCAACCGCTTGCTTATTTCTGAATATTATTATCATATTATTATAATAACAATATGCATTGAAATAGACGATAATCATTTCACAGGGGTGTACATTCAGATTACCTGTAGCCTGACAAGGTCGCGTGAGTTGTGCCCTCCGCGGTGCTCCAAACCCAAACTCCAAACTCTGTTGCCGTTAGGCCGGCAAAGGCGTCACTCACGCCTACATGTCAGGCTAGATTGCATGTTACTCAACAATTATCAACAGTGGAAGACACAAATGCGCAGGGCTGCAAAAATACAATGTGAGCCATCGGTGGGTCAATGCGTAGATGACTAAGGCTGTAATTTGACAGGATTACAGACGATATATCATCATCGACTGAGGGCGCCCTGTGCGCCACCCATCAGTCGAGAAACTATTATAAAAACTCAGACCACTAAAACAACAGTACAAAAATTGTAAATGCATAATGTGAGCAAATGAATGTTGCACAAAAGTAGGTCTTGGATCCCAATTTTGCTACTTCCGGGAAAGTATTATTAGATAATCAAATCATGGAAACAAATGGACATTTATTTCTAAGATAGTGATGACTCCGAATGAAGCTTCTGGTGTGTTTTCCAGGTGACAGCTGTCAACAATTGTCATTATAATGATAGCTACATTCCATCTTCACGTTTTATCATCGTTTCCACGTCGTTTCATGCTTTGTGATAGTTACATTTAGGATAGACAATAAAATTGTCAAAAAAAAAAAAAAAACGCTTCTTGGCAAATAAATTGACCATATCCAAAAATAATAATATGACGCACTCCGCTGTGCTCCAAACCCAACGATGTAGTTTTTCACTTTTCATCGACGATTTTTTGTTCGTACCAATCAAATTGCAGGAACGTCAGATAGTGACAGCCATCAAAGAGTAACCATGCATTCACGACAGAGTTTATTTGTTTGTTGACATACAATGTGTGATAAGGTGCTGGCAAATTTCCGCCCAATGTTTATCATCTTGTTGAAAACAGTTTGTGATTTTTGCAAACAATGCAAACACGCCAATGATTGACGGTGTTACCATGACCACCAAAATGAATATTCATTGCAAGAAGGAATATATTTCGCCGACGAGACATACACTATTCCGTCAGGCGTTAGTGAGGTCTGATGCCGTTCGGCAGGCGAAGGCCTGCTCACGCATTATCACAGACTTGTTATCAGGCGAGTCTGTATCCCTGAACGCGCATATTTATTTATTTTTTTGGGGGGGGGGGGTCCGGTATACTGCCCTCAACGGTTCCTGTTACTGTTACATGTATCTGTGTCTTTGGTTGCACATAAGTAGTATATTTTATCGACTAAGACATTAAACTGTTTCTGAAGAGAAGTATGAATGTGTCCCGCTGCCAAAACCGAGTTCTAGTAAAACTAAATTCAGTTGCCGGATCAACTTTTTGGACTGCCGGAGTTTTAGAGTATTTACACATAAAACAATAAAAAAAAGCGTAAAATAATAATAATAGTAATAAAAAAAAAAAAAACACCAAACCGAATACTCCAACAGTAACATGTTTAACATCTCTATTTTAAAGGGCGGTAGTCGTCGCGCTGCGCATGTGCGACATTTGTGTTGATGAACATTGATTTTCCCACAATTCAATGCGCTCTTCTAATTACAAACCGGAAGTAGGTTTGACCTGGACGCGACTTGCACTAACTACCGCCGTGACTCTTTCGACACCTTCCAATCAACTCAAAAATACCTGTTTAAAGCTTGGTAACGTCTCAATTTGTACTCGTCAAACTGTCAAAGTCGCCATCTTTGTTTATATGAGACCTTTATATCTCACGCATGCAGAAATACAAGTTTCGGGGGCGTAACTACGTCACAAGACGTTCCACGTTGCTACGACGCCCCACCACTGCACATGCATTTCTATGGGCTCTGTGCGCGCTGCTGTGGAACGCCGGTCGAGCCGGTGAAAATTCGAGAAAACAACACAAACTCAACTTTGAAGTAATCCTGAACAACCAAATTTATATATGTTACACACGTAGGGATAATCTTGTTACACTGTTCAGAGGAGTCTCAACAATCATCCCAAAGTACCGTTTTCTGCAGTGCGAGTTTTGGGCCTTTGTTTTCACAGCCACGGATTGCCAGGCGGCGAAAATGCCCGGATGTCCGCCCCGAGGATATAGTGAATGTTAGTAAGCAAATAACACCGAATAAACGGCAAGGTAAAGACTATGTCTAATTATAGTAAACACGTACTGCGTGCGTGACTCGAACCGGCGCTCGCGTACGGCACCTAATCGCCTAGCTTCACGCCACTACACGTCTTCCCCTCGGCCACCGGGTATCCCCATAAAAGGATGCTTAATAACCGAGCTTATTACGTGCAGAGAACATGAAACCCGTCCACGCGATCCGCGCCACACAGCGTGGCCAGAATGCGGCAAAGGCCTTCAGATCTGGCTGTAGTAGGATGGTGAAAGTAATGGTACAGCATTATAACAGTGAATAAGTACTGAGAAATAATTTTAATGTTCTGTCGATATAAATGATGTTTAGAACTAAGTAGTAAAAGGCCCGGATGTAATTCATCTTCAATCTCATTTAGTGAAAATTGTTTACACATTCTAACTTCTAAGGGAATCTTTGGTTAGGTATGCTTTTATTTCTTAATTGCTGAACTGTGAAAACTGTAGCTGCTTTTGAACTGCAGTATACATTCTAAACCTTCAACTCTCAACTTTTTTTTCTTCAGATTTTGTCTCCAGAAATTTACATAGTTTATAAATTGCTTTAGAATTTGGTGATTCTCTTCTTTCAATAAATATCGCAATAAATTTGTTCATAAATAACAATTTTAGTTTTTTGTCATATTTACTTGTAAATTACTTGACATTGTTTTTGAAGGTTTGCATTCTGCGTACCTGTGTTTGTTCTAGTGAAATTATTTTATTATCATTTAACTGAACTTGATCTCCTGCAGAGTTATATAATGAAGGTCATTAAATAGAATAAGACTAAGGACACGTCCTTGTCGGGCTCATTTTGTGGTCTGTAGTATGGAATTTCATCGATTTGTTTAGATACTTTTTTGTTGATCTTCAAGTTATTTTCACCAGTAGGTGCGTAAAAACCCAGACTCGTACAACAAACTAATTCCTTCAGTTTAAAATGTATTAAAGCAAGTAAGTGGCCCACCCACTTCTGAGCATGAGACAAAAAGCCGCCAAATAAGCTCTCGTTGAAATCCTACAACTTCTCACGAGACTGTGAACGGTTACGAAATGCAATATTATATTATTCCGCCGTTGTACATCTAAAAATGTAGTTCTTAAGATAAGTTAGTTAGAAAATGAAGAAAATGCGTACCTTTATCCAAATAAACATTATCTGTAATAGTTTCAGAAAAGATTTTTTTTCTTGGACGGGAATTATTAAGGCTTGTGTTTACTTTCAAGGGTGTTACCGCGGAATAGTTTATTAACGAGCAGTGGAGAGGTAGTAGTAGGCGAGACTGGAGTGCGGTGGTGAAAAGTAGTTCCTTTTCAACACGCCGATGCAGTAATGTGCGATATTTGCGACAGTGAAAAAACTCGATCATGTATTCCTCCTTCTGACTAGCACTTGTTAATTGTATCCCTTTGAAATTAGCCAAAATTCCACCGAGACGAACTAGTGAAGGGGAATATTCGAGCCAGGTATGTCTTCTCTATTGTTTCAGTTGTGAAATATGTTAACGAAAATCCTGGAAAATGTCGGACAGAGCAGTTCAGTTGGCTTCACTGGGGGAAGCATTTTCTGTGCACATGTGGCGCAGTCACAGAGTTCATGATTGCACAATTATAACAGTGTTTATGAAATGTGCTTGTCCATTCGCCGTCGTGTATCATCATAATATCGGGCACTGCCTCGCATTTTTTCAGAGGGTTATATTCAGTTCAATTTCATTAATTTTGACAATCTGCGGAATTTCCAACAGTTAATTCGCGTCGTGACTTGGCGAGGGCGCGTCACTTCGCGGCGTGGTGTTTTATTTTTTCATTTTATCGTCGGGCTCGCAAGCAATATGAATCCACACTGATTAATTATGATACTTTTAAAACAAAAGAATATTGTCATTAAAAATTGAAGATAAGCTGTTAACTACAATACGACCGGCTGTCGCCACGAAACATGTCAACGAAGTCTGCTACATTGAAGACGTGGGCAGATCCAGTTTTTGATTTGGTGTGGTGTGTGGACTTTGTAATTTATTTTGTGAATGATCTGCTAGACGTGTACTAGTATTATTTTTTAGATAAATAGCGATGTAGTATTTGATAGCACACTCCCAAATTATTATTGTTTTAAGGTGAATGGATTTTATATTGTATACGTGTCGCTAAGGACTCCGTTTCTCAAACACTACTGGTATACAATCTTATTCATGGGAAAATATTTTCATTCATTGTTGCTCGCTTTTATTAGACATGTGCTAAATGAGGTGAACATTGTGTGTGTAGGAACTAATCTCGCCATCTCAGACTACTTGATCATGTAAAATTAATGAAAGGGAATTTATTGGAAAAAATTGAATTGGAATATTTTATTTAAAGTGACTCGTAGTTCATAAGAGAAATGTGAAAGCTGCTGCCAATGTTTGTTGGGTTGTTGCCAATTTAGACTTGAGGAAATGTGTATCTGTGCCAGGTGGGTTTTTTTCATGCTTCAAAACTCAAAATTTCAGTTTAAAAACTAACAAAACAGGCTAATTGTGGTATTCATCACTTGTTTTATCATTACATCAGTAACTGGTTAATAATTTTCAAGGGGTATTTTTGCAATTTTCCAAACTGCCTCCTCCTCTTAGTTCGCTCAAAATGAAATCATTGATGTTGTTAATCTGTTATTTTCAGGGTGGGCATTGCAAGAAGCACTACATCAAAAACCCTGAGGGGTTGTGCCTTTACCGTGAGCAGCTAGACTGCAATTTTGAGGCTCCGTGGAACCCAAGCTGATATTTGCTGAAAACACAACGTTTTCAATTTGCTGTGTAAGTATTAATGTAGCCTGACAAGGTCGTGCGATTGTGCCTCATTGAAACTCGTTGCAAGAAGGCGTGGACTTTATAAATTCGCATTATTGTTTTTGACAAGACATGCACTATTCTGTCGGGTGCTAGCGAGGTCCGATGTCATTTGACTGACCAGGGCGTCACTCGCGCTTACATGTCAATAAAATTATCTTCCCTTCGCTATTGTATGCGTTTCACAGATTGAAAAAAAATTACCGGTACTTTTCTTTTACAGCTTGCTGCGTATTTCTTAAATCCCTGGTCAAGTTCCCCTAGTGTTTTGGTTACTTTTATGTTCACCAAAATGAACGTAATTGGAAAAGACATTGTTGTGGATGTTGTTGATGACTGCACTAAACCGTGTGATGTAATTTCTAAGATAGCCGTCATTCATGACTTAGAGGTAAGAGCAGTTTATCTTATTTGCAGATTATTTGTTTTTCTCCACTGATTCTTGTTAATGGTATTTTTAGGATTAAATTTTGGCAAATATTACTGCCAGTTTTGTTTACTAGGTCTGAGCTTGCATCTCTATTAGAAGCAAATATAAATCATAACTTTAAACATAATTAAAATATTACTTAATTTGACTATAAAAACACCTAATTTAAATAAGTGAAGGTGCTGCTACCGTATTACCCTGGGCATGCGCCCAGGGACCTGAACATACAAAATCGGGAAAAATTGGGGGTGGGCGCTTACCAGAGGACCACCCCAAAAAAGATTTTAAAAAGTTGTTTTTGTGATCGTATGATAAGGTCAAATAAAGGAATGCTTTCGTACACTTTGTACACATACTTATTTCTTGATTTATGCGAGATTTCAATAAACGTGAGCACTCGGTCAAGAACTGTGGGAACACTAAGACACAAGGTTGAATTTCAAAAATAAAACTTGTTTTATGTCAGCGAATGAAGTTGTATTACTCATTGAAATTGGCTACAAAGTATGGTAAGTATTGTAATCAATGCACGGTTACTTTTTTAGTAACCGTGATCAGTGCAAGTCGAAACGACCTGGAAAAACTACCGCTTGTAATCCAAGATGACAATGACCTCATTAGCATAATTTTGTTCACGCACGTATTAATACATCGCATCATAATTACTGAAGAATAGCAGACAGGGTTATGAAACAAATAAACCTTTTATTACTGATGTGAAATAAATACATAAACATATCCAAATGGCGATACATAAAAAACAGACTGAAAATGAACTCCGGTCGACCTCATTAACATGATTTAGTCACGCACCCACACACATGACAAAATTATGATGCAACATGTTCCCATCGTCAGCATGCCTCATTATGGTTATCGTAATGGACTTGAGGTCAGCAAAATGTTTTTTCTTCAACGACAGAAAAATAGTCCACATGACCGTAATGCCTTAGCTGTGATGAAGGATGGAAAGAAAGTAGCAAGTTTACAACGCGATGTCTCAAAAGTGCTAGCTCTCGTTCAGTCAGCTGGCATCAGTGTCGCGTGTATATGAAGAGGAAGTTGTGCAACCATTTGCCGTGTTCGCAGTTTTTCGCCATAAAAAAATTACTGAGACAAAAAATCGCGGTTTTTCAGCATTTTTGTAATAAAGACATTATTCTCTATCAATAATCTGCCCAAAACAGGAACATGTCTACTAATTCTTGTGTTTTTTCGATGTTTTTTGTAAATTCTGCGATTAGGCTGCAAAAGTAGAACATTCCAGAGGGAGTGAAACGGAAGAGCCAAACTTAACGTGTAAAAATAGTACGCGTATTTTGACCTCTACGTGGCCAACCAATGGCTGGACATGGATACGTTTGCGGTCCTTGCCAAAAAGCCCCGCGTCCATCGCCTGGCAATGCTCTTTCGTTTCACCCCTCCAGAATGTTATTTTTTTTATCGGTGAAAAACTGCGAACTCGGCAAATTTGGTTGCACAACTTCCCTTTGTCATATACACCCAGCGACACCGATGTCAGCTGACTGCTCCCGTTATAGATTCACAGTCAGCGAAGTGCTACGTTTTGAAACCAAAGCTAAGTGCTTCAAACCACTCACCAAGGTATGGATTATTGCAATATTGGATTCATCTTGAATGAAGAGAAAGCAGAACGTGTGCGGCACATGCTGCGTGTTTCATCTTACGTCGTTAAGTTCCAATGAGTTTTTACGTAAAAACACAAACAAAACGGCCCTTTTCAGGGCCACCACACACTACAAAATAAGAACTACCGTAACAAACGCACTATTTAAATAAATCAAACGCGTTCGTTTTTGACAAAACATTATTGTTGACCCCGTTCTTGGCTAAAATCACCCTGGGCGTTTAACAGAGGATGTTCCCAACATGTAACTTTTGTGAAAACGGGGGTGGGCGCCTTCCCAGGGAAGGGCGCGTGCCCGGGGTAATACTGTAATAGAGCAAATACAGTAAGTCATTAAATTCAGATCAAAATAAATTATCCCATGATTTGTTGACGTCTATTTTAGTGCTTTTATTAATTTTTTTCAAAAGATTGACACTCCACTAGTTAAATTTACATATGCAATGAATGCTGGTATTCAGAGTGCAATACTGAACACTATGAAATTGTTACGTACAATTTTAGTAAATTTGACTCGATGCATGAATAACATTGCTGGAATATAGTTTTCTTTAAATTTGCGAAATAACTTGCTAACTAAAATATTATCATTTTAAACCCTGTTGTAAGTGAAAGATAGTTTTCTTGCACTAAGTCAGATATTAAAACATCACAAAATAACCTGTTCATATATTCTAATGTATATTTTTCATTTTGAAAAATTGCACTTCACTCGCATCTATCTAGTATTATGATTGAATGATGTAAACTGGGCAAAAAACCCAAAGTGTTTTGCCAAGTTGCATGTAGTCTTGCTAATTGTCTGAATAATTTTCAGAATGCTTGACTTTTTCCTACATATCCAGAAATTTTTCAATACTGTAGAATACTTTATTTTCGCTTGGAATTTATTTTCGCTATTTTCGCTGAAGGGAGGATTCCGTGAAAATAAAATCCAACGAATATACTTTTTTTCCAATATTTCACATTAAACTCATCAAAACTCGGTGAAAATAGTAGTAGTTTGCTGTTGTGCTATACTCTATTCCATTGAGACCAAAATTTAGTCCCCCAGTACGCGTTTCATCTAAATAACCAGTAAATTTTTCAGGCGTTGGTTTCATGGAACTCAAATCGGTTTAAGACAGTTTTAATGTGATGCATGCTTTTTAGGTACTACAGGAATAAATTGCTGAAATTATAACTTGCAAATTGTTTACAAACAGGTCTAACACTTAGTCTTGTGTAACTTGTCTGCGCTCCATGTTCTCTGGAATATTCAAGACCTTGGTTTCTAACCCTTGTATTCGCTTAGTCAGGTACCCAGGTTTCGCCAAAATTGGGCCCTCAGAAATAATCCTTGTAGTTCTAGCATTTTGTATTCAAATAATGATTCAAGGAATTTTTTTTAGATAAAAATCGCATTTCTGGGTGCCAAATATGCTCAGGGGCCACTGAAGAAGTGATTAATCTCACCATACCAAATTAAGACCTGGTATATAGCTAGTTTTCACTTTCAAATCGAGCCATTTTGAAGTTTTAATTGGATAGCTAATAACTTGAATCATTCTGTTAAAAAAGATCTTTTCCAACTCTCCAGCCATTTTCAAGTCTGTCATGGGTATTCAAATGTTAAGCCAGCCAACTATGCCATAAACATGAAAATAAAATATTTTATTGGTTGACATGTTGTATAGTAATATTAAACTTGTACACATACTACTTTAAAATCTTGTTAGTGGTGGGTGTGTGCTATCAGTTGTGTGGCATCTGCCATGGTTAGGCATATCTTCAAAATGGGAATTCTGCTTTTTCTCTTTTTGGCTTTCTAAATTGTAATCACTGCAGATAAACATGACTGAATTGTGACCTGTTCTTTGGCATTGTTATATTTAGCCCACAAGCCCCATTACAGCCAAATCTTTCTGACATACTGGTCATGTTATTTTAACTGCTGCGTCTATTGTATAACCAGGGGATACAATTGACAAGCAAAAATCATTTAGTTTAAATTGACACGCAGACTTTAAAATTAATTTCATGGTTGTCCTGGCAATTTAATTTCAAACATAATATTTATGATTTTGATTGAGGGCCTTTGTTTTCTTGTACCACAAGAATCTAATTTGACTCTTTTAAATTACACTAGTTAAAATTGCAGTTTCCTCTGTATTGTCACTTTATTTTGAAACCTGACAATATATTTTTTTTAATTTAATTTTCACAGGAAAAAGATGATGCTTTCTTTGTCATGGATTTTGGTGATATCGTTAACAAGTTTGAAAAGTGGGAAGCTCTCTTGCCCCGTGTACACCCATTCTATGGTATGTCAAAACAAGTACTAACATGAATGTACTATCTGCATTGGTACATTTAATATGACCCTCACGACTTCAATTGTCAGTTAATCAGACTTTCCTCCACTGTATTTAATGACGTTAAAAATAGTCATTACAGAAGAGAAAAGAAGTAGTTTTGATTAAAGAATGAACTATTTGCTTCTTGTCAGCAGCTTTTTTTAAAAATTTATGATGGAGAACAAGTCTGATAGTTGCTCAGCTTGAAGTAAAATAAAAGGTTTTCAACTGCTATTCTGTGAATCTATCTTGCGTGAGATAGTGAATAAATAAGGTTATATTATGTTGGGTGCAGTATCTGCTAAAATCGCATTTGGATTCGTGTGTAGCATCTCATAATAATTAGAATGATTTTGTTTTCTGACAGCTGTGAAATGCAATGAAAACCCAGCTGTTCTGAGACTACTAGCTGCCTTGGGTACAGGATTTGACTGCGCTAGCAAGGTAAGTAGTCACAATAAATTCGCTAAGAAGTTGATGGTGAATTTTTAAGCACTTATTTTACATTCTTCTTTCTACAGTTCTGCATTTTGATTAGAAGCACACATATACACAAACGCGCATTTATTGTTTATAGCCTGTCAGTTTGAATTTGTTCTAAAAGTGTCTAGTATTATGACATGGAGTGAATGATATACGAGATACACAATATTCGTATTGGTTCAAACAAATTGCTAGGTATAATTTGTAACAAGCTGGAAAATCTAATATTATTCATTTTGTCTCGTACTGAAACAGAAAATTACTTCGATGGCTGTGATGACTTCTTGCCCTCATTGATTTTAATGAAAATAATATAGAATACTTCTGAGCCATTTGTTACAGCACTAGATACATCAGGCTTTTAGCAAGCCATCTGTCTGACTCATTTTAGACAGGTACGAAATTTTGTTTGACAGGAAATTTGTTTACTAACCTATGCAATTACAGGGGTTGAAATACTCTGGTGCACACTGCACTATGCACATAGATTATTAGCTAGCGTAAGTAAACTCAAAATATAATTAACACAACATTTTCTCATTATATTCACTAAGCCTAAATTAAGTTCAACTAGCATTGCAAGACAACTCAAAAAAAGCTAATTCGTTTGTGATTGAATCAATCAACTCGGAGAACCCGTAAATTTTATTTAAACTTTAAAAGTGGTGCATTTCACCACAAGTTAGTGCAGGTAAATTTCAAATTCAACATGCAAATTGTGATTGCAATTACCCGTAATAACCATAAATAATGAACAAAAAATAGATTGCTAGTCTGTGGTTACGGAATAGCAATTACCTTTCATTTCGATAGTTTCTAGTTAGGCGCTTTCTATTTTCTGGCTTGTATATAACCCTGAGATACATTAACAAAAAAAATCAATTTCTATAACCATTTGTAACATTTCTTGTTCACCAGAGTGAGATTAAAGAGATCACTGACATGGGTGTGTCACCATCTCGTATTGTTTATGCCAACCCATGCAAACCAAATTCTCATCTGAAGTTTGCAGCCCAAAGAAAAGTCAGTTTAATGACTTTTGACAATGAGATGGAGTTGCAAAAAATTCGCAAAATCTATCCTGATGCTGAGTAAGTATTCATTATTTCTTGCTTTGCCTTTAATCAGGGATTGCCTTAACCCCATATTTTGCTTCCCGGACTCCAATTATTGAAGAGGGACCCAGTTTTTCAGGCAAGCTGGGGTCCAATCTCTAAAAGATATCCAGGGTCAAATTTCAATTTCTTAAAATTTTCTAAGTGGGACTTGTCTTGCCGAGACACTAGCGCAAGCCCTGCTTTTATAGACTTGTGGTACATGTTTTGATAGCTATGAGAAGTTGTATATTAACAAGTGTATTAAGGGTAATTAATGATTGACACAAAAATGTATTTTGAGTGTTATCTTTTTCTCTTTCACTCTGTTCACTCAAATCACTTAAAAAAAGTATGTAAAATATTTTTGCTGAAAATTAATGAAGTTATCCTGCCCTGAACTATCCACACATGTCATTTTACCAATTCTTGGGGTTTTCAATTCTTGTATTGTAATTTTAGATTGATAGAATTGAGATTTTGATAATTATTTTTACACAAGTTAACTGGCAGAAATTTTCACTTCTAGATTGGTACTGAGGATCTTGACTGATGATTCTACAGCTCAGTGTCAGCTTGGTTTGAAGTATGGTTGTCATCCCCAACATGCACCCAGTTTACTGAGAGTTGCTAAAGAACTTGGACTGAATGTAGTTGGTGTCAGGTAAGTCAGACATGATGAAAACAATTCCCATGCAGGGTCCTCTCTAGAGTTGTATAGTAGGGATTTCTCTATCTTGTTTACATGACAGTATTTTATTAGAGCCCAACAGCCCGAGCCAGCAAAAACGACTGTTCAGCTTGAGCAAAGTTTGACTCTGA